AGGAGGGCCTGTACCCATCTTTCCCAGTACTGTCCCTTTGTCACAGAAGTGAAGCACCTCATAGGCAGAGGTAGTGAATATTCCAAGGAAAACACAGTAGTTAATGCTGTTCATAAACACTGATAAAATACAGCTCCACAGTTAGTTTCAAATACTGTTCCTAGGACACAAGTGGTTGTAGAGTACCAGCGGCTCCCTTTTTCCCATACCCTCTCCAGTTCTTGGTAGGTTCGTTCTTGTTGAGAGTGGGTGGCTGGCTCTTGCTCAACAGAACGCCTTCCTCCCGGGACTGCACTTCTTCCAGCAGAGGTTACTTTGGCAGCACGCTCTTCGCTTGTACTCTTACCTGAGGTCAGCGCTACACCGGAACTGAAGGGCCCCTTAAATTCATCAGCCTGCTGTGGAGCTGGCTACAGGGTAATGCAAGGGCAGTGGTTTCAGAAGAGTAAGCTGCTTACCTGCTGACCTTACCCAGAACAGCAAAAACACACCCCCAAGGCAAGAAGAGGTAATAGGTACAAGCCGCGGCTAAGTTCTCCTGCAGGGCTAGCCCAAGCTGAGGCAAGCTTGATGTGTCAAAGCTGAGTGGGCAAACTCTGCCACTCAGCCATTTTTAAAGAGTTCCTGAAATTCATAAGTTAGGAATGACCAGAGTTGAACGACATCACGTCTGAGAAGGGACTAAATTAGTCCAGGCTCCTGTGATAGCATAGAGGGATACTGGGTCTAAATATTGGATCAAGTCTGTAGGACACAGGTCTCAATGTCCATCTGCTGCCCTGTTTGATGCGCCTCTTACGGCCCAAGGCTCGAGGAGCAGTAAAGAGCGGGAGTCACCTTTAGCATGGCCTTGCAGTCCTGTTTTCCTGAAATGGTGAGTGATGGTGGGTGTCCATACTTCACTTCTTCTCTGTGCTTTTGGGAGGGGTTATTATTCCTCCTGTTGACACGGGCGATAACTGACCTGGGGCAGCAGATGCGACTCCACTGTTAACTTCTTCCTGTGTAGTGGGGGAGGAAGATGACTGTTAATACCTGGGCCCAGTTCTGCTTTTCATTTTGCTGGTGTTCTTCACCCTGGCAGTACAATTCAAGTACTCCAGAGTTAGGGTAATGAATAAAAACCCAGGGGGCTTTACACCACCACAGTTACTACTTCTAAACGCTTCACCAGTGCTTCGCTTTCGGCCTGCGCCTCTTAACGGTGAAGCACCTTTAGTTTATAGCATCATGGAGCAGGAGCAAGAAACAAAAGGTTAGGCACCGCTGGCTGAGGGAGCCCTTGGCTGCCTCGGGAGAAGGGGTGTGCAACGCGCAGGCAGCTGCAACCCCAGGAGCCACCTACCAGCATGTCCAAATAATTTGTGTGTGTTTGGATATTGTGCCGGTCTTCTACTGCCACCTTCTTAAAGTTCTTCAGCTTCGCAGGGACTTTTTTTGCCACGCTCACAAAGGGACCCATCCATTCGACGCACTCTGAAATGCTGTCCCAGTCTAAGCCTAGAGGGTACAAGGTGGTCATAAATTTAAATAAAACCAACACTAGCTAACACTGCAGATAAAAATTCAGAAACATCCTCTTGGAAACCCCCAGCATTTCCCTGCACTTGTCACTACAAGCATTGGTGGCAGGGGACAGGGAGCACAGGCCACCTGAGCAAAGCAGCCCAGCTGCAGCCAGGAGGGTTCCCCTTGCTTACCAGGGGAGGCTGGACTGACTTTTCCAGCTGGAACGCAAGATTTTGGTTCACGCTATTAAAAACATACATACGCTATCGTCACTGTCCCTCATGGGGCCCCAGGCAACGCACAAGCGCCGAGCTGAGTTACGCGATTCTTTGGGGGGGGGGGGCAGGGGTTTTATCCACTTTGTAAGGGCCAGGCTTGTAGGAATTAGCACACAGGGTAACTGAATGCCCCTGACAGCTGAGGAGGACTGGTGGCTGACTAAAAAGTAGCCAGCTAAGGTATAGCTGACTGTCCCCAAACCAACTGGAAGTCACGGAGCAGTCGTATTAGCCCAAAAGCAAGGAGGACAAATCTGCTTCGTTTCCTTCGCTAAGCCTCCCCTCCCTACCTGAAGCTTTCTTAACTACTTCAACTGAGGTATAGTGGCAGAGCGCCGCAGCAGCTAGTGTTCTGTACTGGAAGTCCAAAGAATTCACATCCAGAATACACAGGTCCAAGAGCTGAGGAAATAAAGAGTGGGGGAAATAGAGAGTTACAAATTTTAAGATGATACTTTAGCATAATCCTGTTTCAGAAACTGCTATGCGTACAGCAGCCCGCCCTATAACATGGCTGAGCTTTTTAGCATCAATTGCACGCCATTAATTTATTTTTGTCACCAGTTGCGGTTAAAGTGGGGCTCACAGAGTTACGATGCAAACCACTTTGCCCTGTTACCTGTAACACGCCGGGTTTAAGCGCACCTTGAAACGCTCAGCAGAGCTCCAGGAAGGTACGTTCTCAAATTAAAATATTACCTAGCAGCGCAGCGACTTAGGCCCAGCTACCCTTCAGTGAGCCTCTCTGAGGCTGGACACGACGCGTGCCCATAAAACCTGAACCACAGCAGTTTCAAAATAGTCAAACTGCGCCTCAGACTGCCTCCGAGGCACGTGCACAGGGACACTGTTATGGACAGTACAGGTGAAAAACAGTTCATGGCCCATAGCTTCCGTTAATTACACGCCCGCCGCTCAGAGCTGTAGTGCACAGTGATTAAAAAACCAAGATGGGTTTTTCTTTTTCCAGTGTACAGAAAAAGACAGACATGGGCGCTTGCCCTCCAAACTCAGTGTGAAGTTCCTGGGCAAACTTGCCTGTTCCTTAACAAAGTAGCAGGTGAGGTGGAAAAGGGCTTAGCATTCTTTATGGGCTCTTGGGGTGTGATGCTCAGTTTGTCCTGGTAACTGCTCCAAAAAGCATTTTCTGATAGCGTTTACTACCTACCTGTGCTATCTGAATAAAAGCTCCAAAGTTTGTCCTGCTCCAAAAAGCATTTTCCGATAGCGTTTACTACCTACCTGTGCTATCTGAATGAATTTTTCCTGAGAATACTGAGGTAGCAGCACTTCCGGAACATCCTTCAGAGCATCCACTTGAAGATAGAGGTTCAGCCAAGAGACAATCGTCACCGGACACAGCTCCCATTTTAAAGCCTGCAAATATTAAACAGGTGAGCACCTTAAACCACGCGAGGACAGTTTTGTGCCCCAATCTCTTTTCCCATACCTCCCCTCCTGAGTTTGCTCGCCTTACTGCACACATCCTTGAAAGACACCAAAGATTACGTACAATTTCAAGTACAAACGCTCGTTTTGGATTGCATTCTCACTACTTTTTGAGCGGGCTGCGTTACAATCAGCACAAAAAAGTATCTATCGTCTCAACCCCCTTTCCCGTGCCTGTGCCGCTGGATCTTGTGTATCTTCCCCATTCAGAAGCTGGGAAACAAGAGCATTTCCCCTGAGCCTTCAGGCCGGGTGCCCGAGCCTGCAGCCAATTATCTACTCGGGAAGAATAAATGTATAGGGAGTTCTGCAGTGGTAAAGACGGATCCTTTCCAATGTAAGGAGCACCGAGTAGCGTCACTGCCCCTGTTCCCGGACAGCAAAGGGCCCTGGCGAGCGCGCTACACCGCAGCCACAGCCGCCTGCTCCGTCCCACGGCTGGCTGTACCTGCTAAGAGCCTTTACCTACACACAGGCACGAGAAGCCTGTCCTTTTCCAACAGACGGGGATTTCAACCCGGAGGGGGGCTTTAGAGGTCTCACTGCACGTGCAATGAAGGTTTCATTGCTTTGCAGAAAGAGGGACATACTAAACGCCGTCCTTTTCTAAGCAGATAAATGGCATCAAAATACACGGCTCAGCTGGACAGTCTCTCAACTGGCACTTAGAAACAACACAGCAAAGTTATTACCTTTAACATAATAAGTTCCATTCTTACAATGTCGTCTTCACTGCAAGCACCATCAGTGACGTAAGCAAATTCCTGTATTTTGGGAGCGTAGATTTCCTTTAAAGGGAGGGAGGGGAAAAAGTGATGGTTAGAGTGCCTTATAGTTCTAAGAGAGCTTGAGAGGATACTGGCAAATGCTTTTCAGTCCATGCTGGAATATTAACGTTTCTTATGCCAGAACAGTATTTTTGTCATGACTTGAAACTTACAGGATGAGGAGATCCTAAAACCAAGTAGGTTATATGTTACCTGTTGTAATACCCCATAGATTTATCGCAGCTTTTTTAGCTTTTGGGGAAATAAATGCCAAGCAAGCAATCAGAACAGCCTTTCATTTGTATGACTTGCTACTCAGCTATTCCATCTGATGTAAAAACATACACCAAATTCTTGTACAGCACACCGCGGTATTAGAAAAGGCTTGCTAATACAGGTTACGCACAATGTCAGTTAGTGCTGATGCACTCTCACTGATTAAAAGAAAAAAAAAAAAAAAGCTAAAAAAAGATGAGGGAAAATTCCACAGCCAGTGTAGCTGGCGAAATCCATGGTGCAGAGACGGTTAACAAAGAAATCTGCCAACCCAGTCATGGCCGCTGGGGCCAGGTATAGGTAAGTGCGTTGGTAAAAGAGAACTTGCCAGCAGAAGCGGTTCTCTACCAGCTGGCTCCACTGCCTGATGCCCCACGCACCTCCTTAGGACAGACAGCTGCTTGTAGGGCGCTACCTTGGCTTTGGGAACAACAGCCAGATCGGGGGTGGGAGGTCCAAGTATAAAAACCTAATATCCCAAATTTTCCTCTCAGTCTAGCCTGCCATGACCTACCAAAGGAGACACACAAAAATAGGCTGTGGGCTCACAGCTGCAGTGAGTGTATCACCATCGCTGCACTGATGGTGTTATCTTTAAAAGAAAAAAACTCCACTGAATGGGTTATCAGCCTGATGTACAGGCAGTTTGAGACTTAGGCTTGGTTTTGTTCAAGCCCCACGCCCACTCCTGAGATTGTCTGCCAATTGCTGTATATTTGGAAAAAGACAAAACAAAACAAACCTACTCCTAGCACATTTGCATACCTTTTAAGTTTATGTGGTCTCCTTCCCTGCTGCTGAGGAAAGGGGGGACAAAGACAACATGCCAAGAGATGTACATATGCACAACTGAAGGAAGAGAAAAAAATTTCTCCTTCTGACGTTCAGTGTTGCATGTACACCACCAGGTTCAAAAGATTCAGACAGAAGAAATAAGTATGTTATTGCCGTCTTTTTCGTTATTCCAGACTTAATATCCTCCTCCCTGTTACAGAATTTCTTACCTCAAGTTTGGAGGCAATGAATAACGAGGTAATTCCTATAAGCTGAAGCATGCTCTTGTTAATGTTCTTTTGCGTCAACATGAATCTATCAAAAAAGTCTTGAGCTAGGTAGAAGGTTTCCCTGTGGAGTGCATACACCTCACATACCTACAACAGGGGGGAAAAAAAGAAATCAGTTTTCTGTTAAAAAATTATGTAGACATGTTGGCGCAGTCAAGCTTTAATAGCAAAACGCACTATGCACGATTTTATCTTTTGCACACACCAACTATCACAAACCTAGGTGTGTTAGGATGCAGTGGTTTAGTATGGGACTGGAAAAAGTATATCCCATGCTCCCACCTAAACACAGATTGTCCATCATGCACTAACATACTTCCAAAGTATACTTTTTTCCAATCTCAATAACATCCAGTTTTCCTAAAAATGAGTACAAACAATTTTCCACTGAAAGAAGAAAGCCACAGATAGCAGGGGAAAAAAAAATCCAAACCAGCAACCCCACACACACACTAATTTGCTTGATTAAGAATACTCTGGGCTCAAACCTCAAGCTGAAGTCACTGAGCAGATCCTCCCTGTATTCCCAGTAGGTCTGTCCCAGGGCAGAACCATTAAAAAACTTGAAGTCTTTGGCTGTACCACAAACAAGCCTGGAAGCTCCTGCCCGAGGGGGCCGTGCTGGCAAGCCAGGAGCGCTGCCTGCAGCCCCTCGGGCACACCGAGGGCCTCACTAAGCAGGAACAAAACTGCAAGAAGGGCCATCTGCTCCCTACAGTTGCGGGTTTCCCTGGCAAGGAGAACTTTTAATACTTGCATTGTATCAAAGCAGTTCAAATGCCAGTTCAACAAAAAAAGAAAGGAGACTGCCTGGGCCTGGAGATCTTATTCAGGGGCCTACTTTTTCCTCTGATCTCTAACTGAATTTGGGTGGGTCTACCACAACTCCAGCTTAACTGCAACTCTGTATCCCTCCCACAATTAGAAACTAGTTAAGGTATCTATAAATTACTTATAATCTACATACAGTCAACAGGAAAGAATATCCAAAAAGTAGATCCCAAGTCCATGCTTCCTGCCCTGCTTCATTATTTCACCCAGATACAAAGAATGAAATCTCACTACTATCTATTTCCCAAGATAAGGTTGAAAGCCCATTTGTGAATTAAAACCCTTCCTGACCATCAAAAATGCAACTGTTTGGCAGCGATACTACAGCTCATTCTTTTAGACCTGATCTAATATTTGCCAACTGATGTGCTACTCTGGTATTACCAACTACTGCTCCAAACAAGGTTCAGAACTGAAGAGGTACAGAGCAGGCCCACCCATGAATAAATGGCACAATTTCTATAAAAGTGTATTGCCCAAACATTAGCAATAAAGCTTAGTCATGCTAAATAATATCTCAGTTATGATGTTACAGAAGACAGAGTTAGGAGCTACTGGAGGGCTCTCAAAGTTGCTGGGATTTTAATCCACTGCGGCATATAGAACCGCTGAGCTGGACAACAGCAAGGTGGCCCTTGTTGACATTTTTGTTTGGAAATTGGATGATTTCTTAAGAGTTCAAGGTTTTCAAAAAACCGCAACAAAACACAATTTAGTGGTGGTATGTAAATTACACATTAGAGGAAGTAGGTAAGTGCACAACTGAATTTTTTTTTTAAATATGATCTGAATATAAAAACTAAAAAACAAGACCAACACTCCCCGCCCCCCCCCTTTCCTTTCCTTCTTAATTCCCTGCTATTAGCACTGTTCCACCAAGACAGCAAGAGCGCCATCAACATCTGCTTCCTTGGGGTACTCGATATGGAATCGGTAAACGTGCAAGAACCCTTCTGCTGATGGCCAAGGATTGCACGAGTCAAAGGTTGCTTTTGGCAGTGGTGGTTGAATATGGTCCATACAGAGTTCTTGGAAATGCCTCCGGAACACAGCTCTCTATTTACAGCACTAATACTCCTTTGCATAGCTTGCCAAGATTGAGAACTTCCATTTTGTTTGACGGCTGGAATACTCTGAAGTACAGCAACTAGACTGGAAAATGGATGATTTATTTATAGCAGGTTTCCAGCAAGAACCTGTCTGTATCAAGAGCCTTCAGATGTCAGCCACTAGTGCACTACCTTCTTCTGCTCTCTTCATAGGATGGAAATAAAAATTTACTAGTAAGTCAGAAACTAGTGTCAGGGCTGACATCTAAGAGCTCTTGACATAGGCAGGGCCAGGGTGATAAGTCCTCAATACAGATGCAGTTTTCTCACAGCTGAGATACAGCCCAAGATGTAAAGGTAGAGCTCCATAATTAATCTGTCTGCAGGAATTTCAGTATGAGTGTCTCAAAACTAGGTTTCTCCCCCTCCCAGGAAATACGTGTGTCAAGAGCAAAAGTTCAGTACTATTGCTTGCTGCCCTGTGCAGAAGGTTCAGCATCTCCTGCCAGGGAAGAGACTGAATGTAGCTCACTGAGAGAATCAAAAGCAGTAACCTGTAACCCTTTTGTGGCAAACTAGTTTTAGCAAAGTGTACTGCACGGTAAATGCTATTACATCTTTTACGTAAAAGCTGTGCTTTCATCTGCCTACTTCACAGGCACAACACATGGCAAAGTAACTGAAAGAACACACCTCTAAGAGCCAGTCTAACAGTATCGATCTCATGTGAGGTTGCAAACTAGAATGTAGTGATGTGAAATGCTTGCAATGAGCGTATCTGTTCTCCTTCTTCAGGATGTTGAGCCAGACATCTTTGGAATTTCCCCAGCTATGGAATAAAGTTACACAAAGCATTGTTAAGTATATATACAGCTTTACATATACAGCTTTACAAAAGGATTCACAGTTTTTTATTTATTGTTTACAGTTATTCAGGAATAAAAACAAAAATTCCGTATACTGAAAGATCCTTACGATAGCTAGAAGACTGCAGGTAGACTTTGAACATTTTGCATCACTGGATCAGCAGCTTGCCAAGACCACCAGCAGGTCCAGTTTTATAGAACAGCCAATAAAAATGAACCTGTGTATCCCAAAGTTGCACATACAACCAGAGTTTCCTATTTTGCCTAGTTAGGTGGCTGTTCAGAGAGCAAGATAAAACCCAAACCCTCCCCATAAAAAAAAAAAAAAAAAAAAAAAAAAACCCAAACCCCCCCCAAAAAAAAAAAAAAAAAAAAAAACCAACAAAAAAAACCCCAAACAAAAAAACCAAAACAACACCAACCCACCCCACTCCCCAGGAAACACAAAACATACAAGACATTGTCCGGTTTGGTTTGAGAAAAACATTTACAGATGGTGTTTAAAACTCACTCATCCATCCCTTCCTTTTTTAGCCTACCTTATGGCTCAAACAGGCTATTGTGAGAAAAACTGAGTTCTCATTTATTGCTAACTTATAATTTATTAGCACTCAAGTCTACTTGGGAAGAAGATGCCTATATCATTAATACGGCTTGGGTTTAATTTGTAATTATCATTATTATGAATTGATGTGGATTTTTTTTCTTGGATGTACTTCTCATCCTACTAAGGGGACAGCATGTTAATCAACGCAATGCTGATTTCCTACTGAAATTTTTGGAGTTAAATATTTACCTTTCCCCAAGCAGAAGCAGAGGGAGATCAGACAGACCTGATCACTGGAATCACCTACAAATTCTAACCCGGATCTGTTCCACTCTGCTGCCATCATAAGTTAAAAGCTGGAGAGATACTCGCTCGTTTAATGCACAAGTCTCCCCATTCAAGGGGGCAGGCACTGAGAAGTCTCCTATTATGATCTTCCTGCAGCAGTTAGGAAAGTATGAGGAAGGCAGGAGAGAGTAAACGATCCTCTTATTCAGCTAACTGGAAAGGATGGAGCTCAGCTTTACCAAATGCTTATTGACAAGAGGCGAACACCAAGGATTAAACTCCTTGCATGGAATTCTGTATCTGAATATATTTTTGGGATCCAGCAGTTTCCAACAACTTGCTAAAGGGAGGAGATTCCCTCATTCACAGTTTTTTTTTTATTGTTTTTAAAAAAATACGACTCACTAAGCTTTCCAACACATACAAAAATGTGATTTTGATTGACAGAGAAGAACATGCTGTTCTTTAAAGCACAGTTCAGTCAGCTTGGGAGTAATACTGACAGAGAAGAGCGGCTGAGTTTGAAATGCAATGAAAGAGACTGTAGGAGACCTACTGCTTTGCACTAAGATCACCGTGCAGCATCTCCCGGTTCTGATCACGTTTTGGCCAGAACAAATAAAAACATGGTGTATCTAGAAAGGTTCTCCTAAAGTAATGCTTCATGTGCTGCTTCTCTTCTCATTCACCTCAGCAGAAGTTTTCCCAAATGCTTTGCAGCAAAATTAACAACTCCTTCATAAAACACCAGGCTGATACAAACAGCAACCGGGGTACTCATCTAACACACCTGAATGGCTACGAAATTCAGAAATTGAAAAAAAAATTATTTAGACAGCTAATCTATCCCTCTGCAGAAGGGAAACTCTCTAGAACTGTGATTGCACCAAGCACACTGCATTGCATTAGCAGGCTACCTGTGCAGCAATATTGCCACAAGTTTATTTCCGTACTTCTACATTTTCAAGTTCTTAAAGAAAACTTTGCTTAGTACTTTTTGGTCACTCCGTTCCAACAGCACTGAAAGAAATTTAGTTTAACCATTATGTGCCTCTTAACCACTTAGAGTGTCTCGTGTTAAGTTATACAAGGACAGCTCTGAAAAGTGAAAGTTATCTGTCTGGTGCATTTACAAAACTGGGAGGAAAAAAATCCCCAGAACTTCTGTCTTTTTTTTGGACATGAAATTGTTTGTGGGATGAGGAGACAAACAGAGGTATGGGTTGAGTACTGCCCACTATTGTACAAACACAATACAACAGATTGTTCAGCATATTTAATAAAGCATCAACAACTGCTGCATCTGGTAAACTTACTTGAGTTCTGGCAAAGGTGATGGATTTATGAAGAGGTTTCTGAACCTGTATTTTTTGAATCTCGAGAAGTCAGTGGTTACTGATTCTTTGTGAGGCGTTTCAATAATTATACAAGGCGAGATGCCTCCTGTTATCGTGGGCGGCCAACAACTCTGCAACATAAACAAGGTATCTTTTAAATGCTGATTTTACTATGAGAGCAAGAAAGGCGAGAAGTAGATTACAGTAACAACAACAATATATGTAATGTATTTTAAGTTTTTTTGGACCTCAGCATTGATTCAAGTACTGAAACCAAGAAAGATAGCGATATTAAATGCCAACAAAGCCTTTCATAGTCAAGATGGAACATGTGTAAGCAAATCTGATAAATTTGGGAAACTCAGCTTTGAGGAAGAACTGTCTTCAGTTTATGAACCCATGGGTAACATACCCATTGCCTGAGCTGCTCAGTTACAGTACATAAGGCAAAGGCACTCATTGCTATTAAAACACAGAACGGCTAGGTTGCTGGTCCTACCTACGTATCTACTCAGAGGGAAAAGAAAGGAGAGGGTGGAGGTTCTACTGTCCTTCAGTGGAAATTCAGCAACTTGTTATCTTCCAATTAAGCACTCCAGAGGGGAGCCACCCATCTCAGCTCCAGAGCTAGATACCAACTGAGCAAGCAGCAGCTGTGAACTATCTCTCAGCCTGCCAATGCCAAATATGGGATGTAAAAGAAAAGCCCAAAGTTATTCATGCAGAAAGCTTCCAAGGAGGAATTCTAGATTACTTAGCTCTAACTTGTTTCACTAAGACTTACTTGGTTGTACGTAACCAATAAAAGTAAGGAGGTATCAAATGCATGGAGCATGTGTGATGCTGTAATGGCTGACAGCCTTCAAAATGGTGACACAGAACTTTAATTATGCTCTGTGGAGTTAGGGGGGGTCCCATTCCCAAAAAATGGCAACATCTGCCCCCGAACACAGAAACTTTTCCCATATAGCTGTTTTGCAAGATAAACTACATGCGACTTCCTTAGTATATCTAGACTTATTTATAGTCAGACTAAAGTACCCTAAGAGTGAAGTTACACACTCCAGCAGAATTGATCTTAGCAGCACACAGTTACGAGAAAAGGGAGACCCTGCTCCTTTTTCTCTCCTGTGATCTTCACTGTCCAAGTTCACCCCTTCCTTCTTTAGTCAGCTTTGATGCTTGGTCAGACCCTCTGCTGGGTTGACTCAACTCACTGACCTGGCAGAACATTAACTCATTTTGTAGCGCCAAATTAGCAAGCTGAACCTGCATACTGCTTCATTTGAGGAGAACCAAAAATGGAGCAACACAGGGGATGGAGTGCAGGGCCAGCTATCACGGAAGGAAAGAAAGGGGAGCAGCATTTCCCCCTTTCGGCAAAGGTAAGTTGTGACACAGAAGTTTC